CCAGCTGGCCACGCCCACCACCGAGCTCGCCACGCCCCCGCCGAGCCCGCTGCCGTAGGGAGACCGACCACCCCCATAGGGTGAGGGCCTCAGCCTTTCTCATCCGCGTCCAGCCCAGACCACAGCCTGGTCACGAGGCTCCTGGACATGAAGAAGCCTGTGTTTGGCCCCCAGAAGCCCTAACAGCTCCCTCTCCACCCTGTCCGCTCCTGAGCCAATCGCTGTGAGCGCAGGTGGCTCGTCAGCCAATCAGGGCCCGGGCCCGGTCCGCCCACAAAGCCCTGGCCGAGAAGGGCCTGGTTTGATGGAAGGTCGCTGGGGGCAAAGGGCGACCGCAGAGGCAGCAGCCTTCCTCCGGCCCGCCCAGTCCTTCGGGATTTCATTCATTTCAGGCATTCTCACTGAGGTCCCTCCTGTATGAGTATTTGCTCCGCTTTAGCTTTTTCTAGGTAATGATTTTTTTTTTGCAATGTTTTCCCAATAGATGGTAAGACAGGGGGGTTACATGTCATTTTTTCATGTATGTATCTCCACAGCCCATCTTTAATGAATAATGAATTTTTGAGCAGGCAAGCAAGTCAGCGGTTTTCATTCTCAAATGCATATGAACTACGTTCCATATGGAAATTTAACAATCTGTATATAACGATGCAGATTTGACGGTATTGACTATTAATGGTTGCAAATGAATACTTTAAAAAAAACCTAGGTGATACCTATACCAACTCTGAAGTCCTAGTAAACTGTATTTATGACGTCACCTTGGGCCCTTTTACCGATAAACAGGACGGATGCATACATTACCGAGTTATCCGGTCCGCACCCCTGAAGTGCCCCTCTTTTTCATTGACTTTAAGGGTTATCTTCTAATGAGTCACGAGTGGACTGTCCTGTGAGTGGACACATCCCTGCTGGAGGCTGACAGCCACGCCCAGATGCTCGGCCGTCCGCTGCCCGCTTGGCACAGGTCTTGCGGGCCCTGATTTCGGTAGTCGATGCTTTCGGGATGGCTGGACGGTGTGTTACGACATGTCAGGCTCCACGTAGAGTGAGTGCACTCCCACTCTCAATCCCTGGGATCGAGAGCAGATGTTAACACGCCCCAGAGGCTGCCCGTAGGGAATCCTGGTCTCATGTCATCGGACATCCAGGAGCCCACCTGGTTTCACTGAGCTGGTCCTAGAACACC